CAGGGATGTTCTGGAATGGGGATACTCTGAAAATACTGACGGCCARGAATGCTCTGGGGGCGCTTGTTTTTGGGGCTCAGGGTGCTCTGAGGACACGATCTCAGGGGATTTCTGCACCCTGGGGTGAAATAATCACCCTGAGTGTGAATATYTTCAGGATTTTCTTTCTCCACGAGAAGCCCGTTCGGGATGTTCTCCGTCACTCTCTCCCTGCCCACAGGCTCCCCGGGGGAAGCGGGACARCCTTCCCCCGCACATCTGCTCGCTGGCGCACAGAGCCTACCGCAACCTGCTGATGCAGCGGCGGGACCAGGCCATCGTCCCCCTGGGGCACAGCGGGGCCGGCCGGACCCGGTGCTGCCAGGGCGCTCTCGAGTACCTGGTGGGCACGGCGGGCAGCCTGGATGGCAGGGTGTCAGGTATGGGTGGGGGTCCCAGGGACGGGCGGGGTCTCAGGATGGGTGTAGTCTCAGGGAGGGCAGGGGTCTCATGGATGGGTGTGGTCTCATGGATGGGCAGTCCTTGAAAGCACCAAGAAGGAGATGGGGAAAGTCCTCGAGAGCACCAAGAAAGAGAAGGGGACACCCTTTCGGTTTCAGAGTGGATGGGGTCTCAGGAGTGGGTGGGGTCTCAGGTTGGCTGGGGGTCTCATGGATGAGCAGGGTGTCATGGATGGGCAGTCCTTGAAAACACCAAGGAGATGGGGACAATCCCGAGAGCAGCAAAAAGGAGAARGGGTTGGTCCCTGAAAGCACTAAAAAGAAGGGGACAGTCCTTGAGAGCGCCAAGAAAGAGAAGGGAATACCCCTTTGGTCTCATGGATGGGTGGGGTCTCAGGATGGGTGGGGGTCTCAGGATGGGCAATCCTTGAAAGCACCAAGAAAGAGATAGGGACAATCCCTGAGAGCAGCAAAAAGGAGAAGGGGATGTTCCCTGAAAGCACCAAGAAGGAGAGCGGGACACCCCTTCTGTCTCAGGGACTGGCARGGATGGGTCCGGGTGCTGGGCAGCAGCCTGTGCAAGCTGAGGTCGCCCAAACACACAAATCCTGGCCTGATTTGTGCCCCTGGGCAACCGGTGTGGCTGCCAGCACCACTGCCCCCGTCCCAGACTGACAGATTTGCTGTTTTGACGATCCCCGGGCAGAGCAGCAGCAGGGAATTACTCGAAGGGCTCCGGCGCTCGGGGCAGCGCTTTCCCACCTGCTCGGGTTACGGGTGACGCGGGGTTGGATTTCAGAGCTCTCTGGGYACGCTGTGCTCTCCCAGAGGGCTGGGATGGCCTGGGGATGGCCTGGAGCAGAGTGGACAGCACAGCACGGCCCCTTCCCGTCAGCTACACGTGGTGTGGGGCGCTGACCACACGCCCGGCCAGCGCTCCAGCGCTGGGACTGACCCGGGAGGGGCGGGCAGGGGTGAGGAGGGAGGAGAAGCCTCTTCCAGAGCTGCGGGGAGGCTCAGAGGGCTCCTTTTGCAGTGGAGAAGATCCAGGCGATGTTCACAATCCTGGGAGCCTTCGGCTCGGTGAGCACCGGCCGCAGCAGCAGCTCCACGCGCTTCTCCATGGTGCTGTCGCTGGATTTCAGCGCCACCGGCCAGGTCACTGCTGCTCACCTGCAGGTACTGTCACCTGGGGACATGGGAGGGCTGTGCCTGGAGCTGGGGGTGCTTGGGGTGGGGATGGAACCCCCCTGTGCTGCATTTCCCGTTCAGACTGGGCGATGCTCTGCTCCCTGTTCCCCTCTCTGCTCCCCTCTCTGCTCTCCTCCCTGCTCCTCCTAAACCAGAGCTGCCCAAATGACCCCTGACAAGCTCTGTCACCATCCTGGCAGGGTCCCCCAGCCCATCCCCATCCCTGGCAGGGAGCTTGGGACCGTTCTGGGATGAAATGTTGATGAGGAAATGTTTAATTCAGCGTTTCATTAGCGGCACCTCACGGCCTCCTGGAGCTGAGCCCCAGAGGGGTTTTCATCACCGTCAGGGCTCTTATCAAAGGCTCTTTAATCAGAGCTGCCCATGACCCTGGGCCTGAGGAAGGGAGGGGAGGGCTGGAGCTTTGTCTGCTCCTGGAGAGCACCAGGGTGTCCCACTGGCCACAGAGCTGGTGGCCCGGGGGATCTGTCCTTGTGCAGGAGTGACAATGTGCCATCAGTGCCACCAGAACCACCTGGGATGTCCGTGGGACAATCTGGGAGGGGAACCCCAGCTCTGCAGAGACCCACTCCCGGCACTGAACACATTTGTCAAGGCTGGAGCTGAGCTGAGCTTGTCTCAAACCCAGGCAATGGTTTATCCCAATCCTGCAGCAGATTTTTTTGGGGACCATGGCACTGCCCAAACCCCTGGGAGCTCAGAGGGACCGTGGATGTTGTCCCATACATTGAAATGTTTCCCCTCAGTGTCTGGGGTGTGGCTCAGCTCTCCCTTGCACAGCCCCCAAATCCAGCACGGAGAAATCCATCCCCTCCTCGGCAGCTCCCAGGAGCGTGTCCCCATGTCCCTGTGCCCTGTGCTCCCTCCCCAGACCCTGCTGCTGGAGAGGGCCCGTGTGGCCCARCAGCCCGATGGAGAGAGCAGCTTCAACATCTTCCCACTGCTGCTGGCGGGGCTGGACATGGCAGAGAGGTGGGTGCGAGATTCCCCATCCTTTATACCCAAATTCCCTCCCTCAATGGGATTTTGAGACCCCCCTCCCCAATTAGAGATTGTGAGAGCAATTTCATTAATGGATCTGCAGAGATTTTTGTGCACACTGAGAGATTTTCTGTGAAATGGGGGCATTTCCTGGTTGGTTTTTTTTTCCACCAAAGCTGAAATTGGGGTGATAAATGAGACAGAGATCCCGTTCCCTCTCATTTTTGGGTCCCCTCAAGCTGTGTGGCCCTGGGTGAGGGTTTTTGTGCCAGCTTGGGGCAATGCCATGGTGGCTGGTGCCATCCAGGTCCCATCCAGGTCTCTCAGACGGTGCTGTAAAGGGTCTGGGGATGCTGGGGACAGCCAAGGAGGGACCTTCACTCTCATTTTCTGTCACCACCCCCAGGACGATGCTGCACCTGCACCAGGTGGCTGAGAGCAATTCCTTTGGGATCAAACCCTTCACAAAGGTAGGGAAAGGGAAACGCTGGAGTTTTTACCTGCCTGGGATGCTTCAGGACACCTCCCTTTGTCACCCCCAGTTAGAGAATGACCCGGAGCCCCTGGGATCACCTACCCCAGCAGCAACTCCCAGCGGGAAGAGCATATTTTGGATAGCCCAAAGGTGGATTTGAGGGGTGAAAGCCCTRCAGATGATTGCCAGCTCCAACCCCTCATTAGCCTGAGCCGTTTGCAGAGCCCCAGCAGATTGTCCCGGAGCCAGAGCGCTGCGATGGATGGCAGCAATTTGCAGTTACATCACCCACCGGTGAATCCAAGATTCCATCTTCATTAGGGAGCTCCTGCTCTGCGTCGGCAGCCAAAGGAATGTGGGGAGGGCACAGCGAGCTCCTCACCCTGCTGATGCAGCAAATTTGGGTTCAGAGATGGGGTTTTACCCTCTTTTCACCGCTCTGATTCTGAGTTGCCATCCCAGCACGGAGGGTTTTCCCTGATCCTTTCCAGGAGGGATGGTGCCCATGGTGCCCATGGAGCAGCCCCAGCTCAGGGGGGCCAGGAGGGGCTGTCCGAGGTGGGAGGGGACAGGTGAGGTCCTGCTGGTGGCTCAGCTCTGGCCAGGTGTGTTTGGTGAGGAGTGAGAGAGTAGGGTTGGATGAACAACCCCAACTATGGATGGCGTCTCTTCCACACCAGGGATGACCTTTAAGGTCCTCCCCAACCCAAACCATCTGCTGATTGTGTGATATAAAACATCCACGTCCAGCTGCTGCTCTGCTGACACTCCCACAGTGCTGATTGCACATCCTGGTGGGACAGGGTGATGTACCCAGCGTGCTCCTGGCACCTGAGGAACCCACTTGGTCCAAATTTTCACATCCCTTGCTGTCCCCAYGGTTTCACTGTCCCTTCTGTCGGGCGTGGTGCCCAGCAGAGGCACTGACACCCTCTGGCTGTCTCCCCCTGCAGCCCGAGGAYAAGCAGAGAGCCTCGGTGGCTTTCTCCCAGCTCCGGGCTGCCATGGGCACGCTGGGCATCACCGCGGAGGAGCAGGCGGCCGTGTGGCGAGTCCTGGCTGCAATCTACCACCTGGGAGCTGCTGGAGCCTGCAAAGGTAARGGGGATCGTGCCTCTGCTTCCCTCACACCTCATCTCTGTGTTTGGAGCGGGCAGGGAGCGTGTCCTGGCAGGGATGGGTGTTTGGGGTGTGGGGAATGGGGATGATGCTCATCCCGAGGTTGCTCCATTTGTGATGGTTCTGAAGTTTTGTTCCTCCATCCGTGGTGGGATGTGGGATGTTGGTGTCCTGCCCTGTTGGARCTTCTGGAGCACATCTTGTCACTTGTCACCTGGTGCCAGCTCCTCAGCAAGGACTGTGGTGGGTGACTCCTTCACTGGCATGTTGTCCCCAATGTCACCATGAAGGGACAGCCTCAGGGAGCGCTGATTTTATCATCTCTTGAGTGCCCACCCCAGTAACAGAATTACAAGAGGCAGAGTCTGCATGAAGATTGTAYTTATAGAGACTTTGTTAATAGGGGCGAGCAGAAATTGCCTTATCCCTCGCGAATTATTTGGGGATGTGCTCGAGCCCGTCTCAGAGGCAGCCACGTTGATTTACACACTTCAATTTACGAGGGCTGCATAAAGGCTGCCATAAACTCAGCCACAGACATTTATAAATGTCTCTGCAACATGTCATAACACATCTCATGGTAATTTATGCCATTAATCATTTATTAATTATTTTAAAAGGATAGATGCTGTCATGGCTTACAAGGGGTTTATTTTTTCACCTTTCTGGTATTCTCTTTGCTCATCTCCATCTACCCTAATGCCCTTCCAGCTTCTAAAGATGACACTGTGGTCTCAGGCTGATGAGTGTCAGAAGGCAAAAAAAATTTTTGCAGGTCCTTTTGCCCTGTGAGTTTTCAGGAGAGCAGATTTTGGGGACGTTTCTCATTTTGGGAGCGCCCAGCTTTGCTTTGCTCAGACTCCCTGCACRCCCTGCCCTGAGCTCTCTGTAAATCAGTCTGGGGGGGAATTGAGAGCTGGATCCGRCAAATCCTGCTGGRTTCTTSCRGCAGGAGCRGGGATGGGAGCAGCGGATCCAGGGTGTGGGATTAACAAGCAGAGCATGTCTCAGTGTCGCTCTCCCCGGTATCGATTCCCCCGCCGCGTGTCAACAAAAGGGGAGAAATGAAAGGAAATATGGATAAAAAATGGATCAAAGCCGGATGGAGCAAAAGTCTCAGTGGGGGCGACGACTCTTTTAATGTGGTTAAACCTGTCTCCCGATAGCCATCTCTTCCCTTCCCCTTTCATGCCCTTTGATGTTGCGTATTCCAAATCCTCTCCTTGAAATCTCGCCGAAGGGAGCCTCGGCGCTGCTTTCGCGGGGCGTTCAGAGCTCAGCCCGGCTCCTCCTCCATCCCCMTCCCCATCCCCAACCCCKGCCCGTGTCAAACGGGACCCCAGCGTGGGCTAAAGGCTCCTCTTTCCCTTCTCTCCTCGCCCCCGTTCGGTTCGCGCAGGAATAAACCAGGAGGGAACAGCATCACCTCTCCCCTGGCTGGGGGTGGGAAACGCGTTCGCAGCTACAAAAAAAGAAGAAAAGGTTGAATTTCAAAAGCTCGATCTGATCTGTACCGGTGTCAGCCCCTCCCGCCGCCTTTGAAAGGCATTCGAGCAGATTTTTTAGTGGGAAAGCAGCCTGGYARCCCGGRGCCAGCGGGGCACCCCGGGCACCATCCACCTGAGCGCTCCAATCCCTTTGTGAGCTGCTGAAAATCCCCGGTTTTCATTTATTTTCTGCCTCTGTAAGAGGGAGGGAGGTTTGGGGCGCGGCGGGGGTCTCGTTCAGCTCGCTCCCACGCTGTCCTTTTGCTGGTTGATGCGAAATTAAATCGCTGTGGGCTCCCAGCTCCCTGTGGCCACCCCAACCACGCACCTGTAAAGGAGGTGACAGCGATTCCAGCCCTCCTGGTGCTGCCACAGGGGTGTCAGGAGCCAGCCGTGGTCAGGAGTGGCTCCAAACTCCCTGGCACAGGGAGGCTGCTGCAAACCCAGCCTCCTGAACCCCTTTGGATGGGGGAAAATCACCTTTTGAAATCCAAGAAATCAGGCACTG